GGAGAAGATCACCCAGAACAGAAACAGGTGAAGAGCCCTTCTTGGCGGCTTACACTCAATACCAGGGTGGAAAAGGCGAATGATGATGACGCACTTTACACTAGAACTCACGTGCCTCTGTCTTTGCAGGGTGATTATCAACTATTGAAAATGCACCATCTCTCTCAGAAATCAGACTTGCCACCTTACACTAGACAACCTCGTGCTTTGGGCAGTTGTAATAAACGCCTACGTATTCTGAATTCATTACGTTTGCGGACGTGAATGACGTAAAGGAAACCTCAATACAAATTAAATTTTCAGGCACATACATTAGATATATTCGTTTGCCAGCCGTGACGCCATCCTTGCATGAAAGGCGGTAAATTATGAAAGACTCTACTTTTGTTGAATTTTCAGTAGAGTTGAACTTCCGGTTTACCTCACAGATGTTTTGATTAAAACTATTTTATGGCCACGTTTGACCTACTCTGCATTTTTCGGTAAGGTCATTACTTCAAAAGAGGAGAATTGTTTTTTCTTTTTGGGACAGAAGGCTACGCTGCTTATATGTATACATGTTTCCTGCCCTATGCTAAAAGTGAGAACCTAAATTACTTTTAAAAAGTGGAGGTGTATTTTATTTGCTGAATTTGTTTTTAAATTCCTTTTTTAGATTAGATTTGAATGGGAATTGGTTGGTATCGTTGATATACCTGTCTGACTGTATTTGCTTTTTGTGCTTTATAAAGTTTTACCCCAGGACCCACTCCCTTATTTCTTCATAGTGAACCATAACAATCGTTGAATTTCCTGTTGTTCTATACAGAAATTCAGCTAAAATTCAAAATGTTTAATATTCCATTTCACGTGTATTTCTCCACCATCCAGGATAAACTGATTCACTTATCGACGAACTGATGAGGAGAAAATGATTAAGATTTTCATTTTAAAAAAAATGAAATCAAATAAAAAGCTCATCAAATAATGATGTAATTCCCTCTTCAACAAACGTTGCGTAGAAAACCCCGCAGCACCAACTGTAATTAATTCTCTTGCGAGCTATTCCTATCAATATTTTGCGATCGATAAGCTCTATAAATATCTTGCCAGAATCAATGACCAGCATTGGGAATGTCTGTGAACATAAAAACACGAGCTCTTGCAAGATATGCAACCACGACCCCGCTTGTATTAACTACTCAATAGGCATTTAAACCGGTGTTTGGGTTTTGATCACTACGATTTCCTGTAGATTGCGCGTTTGATAAGAAAAAGCAAATAACTTCTTTGGAGAAAAATCGTCCCAGACTTGAACCTAAGTAAACACGTCGTTCATGGCTTCTATTAGTATTAAGATTTTCCCCCTCATAGTCAAAATAAACTTGATCGAAAAAAAAAATAAAAAAATAATAAATTGAGAATGTCTATTTTAGTATTTTGATAAACAAATACAGCTGTGTGGTGTTTAAAACAGTTACATTCTCGGCTTTGAACTCGCTGTGACTGTAGGGTCATGAAGTAGGAAGACTTCGGGGATTTATATTTCTGCTTTTTTTTAAAGGGGCCTTTGCTCGAAAATCTGAGCACCGAAAAGAGTTCGCCAATTTAGATTTTGATCGTAGAATGCTGTAATTAAGACATGTACATGTATTGTTTGCCCGCAACAGTCCTTGCGTTTTAGTGAGATAGAAAATTCTTGGGTTTAACGTCCCTTTCAACACCCCCACCGTAAGGCTGTTTAGGTGGCAGGACCCCGGAATGTAACGTCCATCTCCGATATGACCTGCCTATAGCCTAGTGAGTGGGAAACTTTGAAAACTCCCCCCAAAATCTAAGTTCAAGATAACCCTAATTGGGGATTCAAACCAGGGCCATCGCACCGCAGTCCGGCAGGTAAAACTGTGCTTACGGCACGCCCACGGAGAGCCAGGAAAACTCCTATTCAAATCACGTTCAAGAACACCCCATTATGGATTCGAAGGGGGTTCTCGTGGCCTAGAGCAGAGGGTTAAGGTGTTTGCCTCTCATCCGGGTAGCGACGGAAATTTTATTCTCTAAAATTGTCTTCTTTCACCTCTTTTCCTACTCTCTAGCAATGTTCTGTCATCTGTTTTCGTCTCCACTTTCTGCTCCAATCCTATCACCTCCTTTGCACCCTCCCCTGGGCCCATGACTCTTTTTGCAGCCTTTCTACTGCTAGTCCTCCACTTCTTCTTACTGCCGTCTTTCAGCCACACCCTTGATCTTCTGATAGGAAAGATCTACACCTAGCCTTCTCGGACAAAGGCGAAAAATCTCGGAGGTCCCGTGTGCAAGTTGCGCACGTTAAAGATCCATTGGTGGTCTAAAGTCGCTAAGAGTAGGCTTCGCCCGCCACTCAGGCAAAGTTCAAAATTTCCTTTCATTGAAAATGTTTAGTATGTTACGCGCGCTACATGACCGTATGCAGTTGCGAGTGCCGTAAAACACTTACAACCCCCCCCCCCCCCAAACAACCCAGGATTCGAACCAAGGTAACCAAACCATAATCCAGTGACGCATGTACCAACTTAGCTAACGACAAGGCCTCATTGCTGACGAGGAAAAGACAAAAAATCGTTTCCTTCCTTTTTAAATAATTAGCTTCCCGCGAGCCCCTTGCTGATTTGGGGGGGGGGGGGGGGGGGGGGGGGAGTCATAAATAGTTTCCTTTCTCTTCAATCGTTAATTAGGCTAAGGTGATTGATGACTTGAGGCTTATGCCGACTTCAGATACCAAGTCGACAAGAAAACAGCAGGATTTCCACCTTATTAATGCTGGCCAATTGAAAACATTTACGATTTAACTTTATTTAAGGCGACTAAAGCTTTGCAATTGTTTTACTTTAACCCCTTAACTGCCTTGCCTAATTCTGTTTTAGGCTGTTACGAAGGATTAGGTTGCAAGCCTGGCAGTGGCCAGATTATTTCTAAATACTGGGCCAAGTAAATGGCCCACCCTTCACAACTCTAAAAAAACCCACAAGAAATAATAGGCCTTTGGGTTATTATACAACCATCTTGGCGTCGGTGGCCTAGTGGTTAGGCTACCGGACTCGTAATCGTGAGGTTGCGGGTTCGGGGTTCAAGCCACGGGCCCGACGTTGTGTCCTTGGGAAAGGCACTTTACACGAATTTTCCCTACTTCACCCAGGTGAAAATGGGTACCCAGCTATAGACAGTGAAAGATCTTGTCAGTTTATTAATGTTTGAGCGCTTAAGCAGCTGCTTGCACTGTATGCTTCCCGGAAAGCTGAGAATGTTTCTGAGTGTTCTATGGTCTGCTGGGGTAACAGTATAGTGTAAAGAGCATAGAGCCTGCTTTCGAGTGGTGACATGCGCTATACAAATGCTATTTATTAGTATTATTATCATTATTATCTGAGTGCAAAACGAAACTTCCTACCCCCCCCCTCCCTTCAGAAAAAAAGATAAAAACAACCAACTGCAACAAACAATAGATCTATTGCTTTGCTTACCATCACTTACTACTAGTGTTGATTCTCGTGTGGCATTTTAAAAAAATAAATTTTTCGTCAATTTTTTTTTCAATTCTAATAATCGAGTACGGTAACTCGGTAACTCCGTCTGCCTGCTGGGAAGGAGTAGGAGAGAATCCCTCTCAGAATGGTTTGGCCCTTCAGGCAGGGTCAAAGCAATGTGTCACCTAAATGATCTAGATTGTGTTGATGGTGACATGGAACTTCTAAAAATTACCTAGATCTACTAATGTCAAGTTACGTCACTAGCACAAATTTAAGACATACATCACATGGAATGTAATGTAATGCAAAAGTGACCGAATTCGAATTAATAACCAAACATATTTTGCAATGCATGCAAACTCGCTACAAATCTAGAATGCGTGGCTGTGGTGATGTTGTTACTGTAAAGCTCTTCTCCATAGCACACAAAAGATGTGAGTTTGATTCCTGAGTTGGGAGTTCGTTTATTGAGTGTCTCCGTCTATCTGCAGGGATACTGTATCTATCTCTCTCCAGTCCAAGTTGGCCCAAACAGACAAGGTCGATGCAGCCCACACCCCCCACGATATCCAAATCGTGTTGTTAAAGGAGTAAAATTAGAGAATACACGAGGAGTTCACGGGAAAAACGGACCTCGTCACAAACTGGAAATTGTGAGGGTGTCAATTTTAAAAGCTTGTGAACTCATAACTTCATGTCTGTTTATCATTATATATATAGTAGAGGGTTTTACGGCGCTCGCAACTGCATAAGGTCATATGAGTGCTAAGGGGTGGGTGTCAACAGAATAGTCTTTACAGGGAATCAGACTTAGAAGACTGCTCACCTCTCTAGCTTCAACAGGACAAGGTCTGCTTCGACTATCAAGGCACCCCGGAATTAGCAGGTCAAAAGAGAGTGACAAACATACAAAAGAAGTAGAAGAAAATGACAATAGTAAGGATCAGGAAAGAAAAAGCAGCAGTTCCCTGTTGTAGATCAGGCAGTTATGAGCGCGACATGAGTCAGCCCATTTACAATTCTACTATGCTTGAACGAGAAATGTCCCCCCTTTGGGAATGGCCTAAAGACACTACAGTCAGTGGCACTGTCTGTTTGATTGGTGGTTTATTGTTATGATTGTACAAACAACAATAATCAACCAACAGTTGAACAGAAGTACCCTCACGATTTTCAGTTTGTGACTATTCCCGTTTTTCCAGTGGACTCCTCACATGTGTACATGATGTACTTACACAAACGAGTAAAACTGTCCTCGTCGTTTTATGCAAGAAAAATTCTGAAATTATGCAAACTGAGCCTAAAAATGTGAAACTATGCGATTCTGTTTTTTTAAAACTAAGAATGATAAAGGAAAATAATCAGAAATTATGCAAAAAATGATCAAATTTAGCTAAATTATGCAGGGTGCATAAAACCACGGGGACAGGTAAAACACATTGCCCTCCAACCACTACCATTCAAACAAATATTATATACAAGTGGGCAGGCAACAGAGGAAGACAAGTAGGTCAATAAAACTAAACAGTTTTTTATTTCAGAATTGTTTTTACACATCAAACTGTTTATGACAATGACCATAACTACAGTACAAACATAGGAGCTTTACTGCACGTGACAAATGATAACATTGGTTTTCCTACGTTAAAACAAAACTTTAACAATAATTTTCTCAACCCTCCAAGTGTCGCTAACTATAAAACCTGTGGTGTAGGGGAAATTATATGATTTCACCCAAATGTTGGAAAATGTGAGAGAAGAGGCATACAGAGCAAGTAAAGGCCATAAACCTATATTTGCAGAAAATAGAATATAAATAGAGAGTAGAGCTCATTTGTGAGAGTTGAAATTTTTGGAGATATTAATAACATTGGAAATAGCGACTCAAATTAATGGCCGAATCAGCCGCAGCACAACAGAAAGAAACTTACGTCCGGTTTAATTGGCTGTCAACACTTAGAGGGTTAACATAATGATAATCATTAAAATTAGGAGCCAGTCTGTTATTTAGAATTGAAATAACTTTTCCGTAGGGAAATTGTACATCCCCCAACCATCTCCCGATATTGGTCTGTGGGTCTCCTTGAAACTAAAATTAAATTGGTAGGGAAGTATATTCTGCGAACATCTTCTGATACTGGTCTGTGGGTCGCCTTGAAACTAAAACTGATCTATTTTGGTCCTGTTTTATTTAGAGTCATAGACTGGTGTGTCTGTATATTCATGAAGACACAAGTACTGACTTTTCTCTCTGAAGAGAACAGTCTTTTTTAACACTGAGACATCCGTGATGCACAACATGGAAATTTGTACCCAGACAACAAAATTCTTTCTCCTTGCAAGTGTGTGATTATCAGGACGGTTTGACGATGCTATTCCTGGGGACAGAGGAAAACAAACAGTAGTTAAAACATTGTCTACAAACATAGAAATATAATTCCTAAAAATATCATAAGCAAGCACAGTAGTCTAACCCTGTTATATGTAACCCCCCCCGAAAGGCACTTTACACGAATTTTCCCTACTTCACCCAGGTG